ACCTAATATCATACTTGGAAAACCATAAAAAGATTAATAAAAAAAAAAAAAAAAAAAAAAAAAAGAAATTGGCTCATGTGATTGAGAGTCTGGCAAGTCTAAAATTTTTAGATCAGGGAGGTGGGGGAGGAGAAGAAAAAAATGTTTTTTAATAAAATTTTTAGGTCAGGCCAGCAGGCTAGAAACTCAGGCAAGAGTTAATGCTGCAGTCATGAGACAGAATTTCTTTTTATCCAGGAAACCTCAGTTTTTGCTCTTTAGGATTTCAGCTGATTGGTTGAGGCCTCACCCTCATGACAGAGGGTGTTTATTCTCCTTCTTTACTTAAAGTTAGCTGATTGTAGATTTAAACCACCTCTGCAGAATACCTCACAGCAATACCCAGATTAGTGTTTGATTAAATAACTGGGTACTAGGTTCTAGCCAAGTTGATACATAAAACTAACCCTCACATTAGGTTATAGTTTCCATTTGTTTCTTGGGAAAGTCTTAGCAGTGTTTTTACAGAGATGTTATTCTGCCTCTTATTCTCTTTCTTATGACTGTGTGGGATTTGGTTGCGATCCTTTTTCTGTTGCTCATTTTTCTACATGAAATTAATGTTCCCAATCTTTACGGATGGGAGGAGTGGGTCAGAATAACTTTTCTGACCTCTCGGCTTCAGTGTTCCCACTTCTGCTGTTTTGTAGTGGAGAAGAATCAAGTTAATGCTTTTAAGTTCTGTTTCCCTTCCTCATCTATGTCTTCCCTTTGTCTTTCTTCCCCTTTCCTGCTCTATTGCATTTCTTCTACCTGCGTTTCTGTTCACTCTGGGTCTTTGTTCTAGAAGGCGTCTTCGGCTGATTGGTCCTGTGGTTGATAGGTCCTGGCTTGGAGTTTATAGATCCCAGCTTCGCCTGTCCTTTCAGATATTATTGGCACCTCTTGCATGGAACTTTAGAAATTGCCACGTTCGGAATCCCCTTCAGTTAGAGTTGCTGTCCTCAGATTGGCCTGCCATTGCCCTTACTGAACATCTGTTACTGATTTAGGGGTTCTCGTCTCCTCAGGTTTACCTTACTGGCTTTCTTTCATTTCCTTATACTGATCTCATACAAATCTGCTAGTTTTTGTTGGTTTCCTCCAACCCACTTATATTTTGGGATTTGAGAGATGCCTTGTTACCGAGTTTTATTATTGATTGTTGTCCAGTGTTTTTGGAGACTATCCTAATTGTTCTTTCTGTGTTTATTAGGAAATTTAAATAGATTTAACAAACTGCATCGCCATCGCCCCTTCCCAATGCTCTTTCATTTTTTTCTTTTGTAAATTTCTATTTTTACTCTTTCTTATACCTTTCCTTTTATTTGGGGGGACCTTCTCTGTTGTCCCTTTGTTATCGTCTCAATCAATAGAGCTTATTCACTTTTAAATTGTCATTTCTTTTGTATACATTTAAGGTGACAGATTTTCTTCTAGAAACTTTTCTTTTTCTTTCTCTTTTTTTTTAATTTTTCTTTTTGAGACGAAGTCTCACTCTGTCCCCCAGGCTGGAGTGCAGTGGCGGAATCTCGGCTCACTGCAACCTCCGCCTCCTGGGTTCAATCGATTCTCCTAACTTATTCCCCTGAGTAGCTGAGATTACAGGCTCATGCCACCATACCTGGCTAATTTTTGTATTTTCAGTAGAGACAGAATTTCACCATGTTGGCCAGGCTGGTCTCAAACTCCTGGTCTCAAGTGATCCACCTGCCTCAGTCTCCCAAAGTGCTAAGATTACAGGTGTGAGCCACCACCTCTGGCCTAAAAACTTCTTATACTACATACCATGAATTTTTAATAATATTAAATGCTTTTACTGTTTATTCATAAACATTTAATAATTTACATCATGATTTTTGCTTATGAATCATTCAGAAGTACAGGTTTTGTTTTTGCTTTTATTTTTTAAAGACTCCAAATATCTTAGGATTTTTTTCTGGCTAACTTTATGAGAAATTCTAATTTTATTTCACTAATATCAAAGGACATGGTATATGTGATAGTAATTCTTTAAAATTGGTTAAAACTTTCCTTGGAAGTGTGGTCAGTTTTGGTAATTGTTCTATGTGAGCTTGCAAATGATGTATACATTTTCTATTGCTTAATTTTGGGGCTGGGTACAATGGCTCATGCCTGTAATCCTGGCACTTTGGGAGGCTGTAGTAGGAGGACTGCTTGAGGCCATGAGTTTGAGACAAGCCTGGTCAACATAGTGAGATCCCGTCTCTATTAAAACAAAAAGTAAAAGGGAAAAACTTTTTAGGAATGTATATCATTTTAACATATATATCATAAACTTACTAACTATATTTTTTAAGTCTTTGACTACCTTTCCCTCTTTCCCCAAGTGTGAGAAAAGTATGTTAAAAATCTACCACTATATTTATGGCTTTTGAAATTTCTTCTAGTAATTCCATCAAATTTTGTTTAATATATTTCAAAGTTATGTTGTATCTTCTCATGAATTTTTCTGTTTTTTCTTTTTATACACTATCCTATAATATAAAATCTATGAAACAGGTGGCATTATATCTCCATTTTCCAAGTTAAAACACCAAAGCAGTCTTCATCTATGTTCATATAATTTTGTGTCAAGTATTAGAAGGTAAAATTGGATTCCAACTCTGGCTGAAGAGGAGTATCAGTGCTGAAACTAAGGCTGACAATGTTAGAAAGTGACTTGGTATATTCCAGAGGGGAAAGAAAGAATTTCTAAATGAAACAATAGAGAGGCAGGAAAAAAAGTAGCTTTAGAAATAAGAAAAAGGTGCCCAATGAAAGTTGTGTTAATAGTAATATGTAGATAATAGAATGTCAGAATTAAAAGTGACTTATTTTTAAGTGAAGATCATTTCTCATTTGCCTTTTTTTATAATCCCCAGACACTGCTTACTGAATATATTCTTTCTTTCTTTCTTTCTTTCTTTTTTGAGATGGAGTTTCACTCTTGTCGCCCAGGCTGGAGTGCAATGGCATGATTTTGGCTCACTGCAACCTCCACCTCCCGGGTTCAAGCAATTCTCCTGCCTCAGCCTCCCAAGTAGCTAGGATTACAGGCACCTGCCACTGCATCCAGATAATTTTTGTGTTTTTAGTAGAGACGGGGTTTCACCATGTTGGCCAGGCTGGACTCGAACTCCTGACCTCAGGTGATCCACCTGCCTCGGCCTCCCACAGTGCTGGGGTTACAGGCATGAGCACCACACCTGGCTAATAGATTGTTTCTGAAGTAAATAAAATTAAAAGTTTATAGTTTTTTGGAGTGACTGCTTAAGTCTCCCAGGTGGGTTAATTTACCTTTTCTTTGTCACATTACTTTGTACAATTTAAGGGGAATTGAATTTTATTTATTTTTTCCTTAAATAATTAGGACCCAGAAAATTGAATCCTACAACTGAGTCCTGAGGTGAAAATTTTGAATAATATTTTTTGTTTGAACTCTTACTTTCTTTTTTAGATTGGGTTAGAGTATGATGGAACATCATTTACTGAGTGGAGTGTGCCAGAAACTTGTAATGTGATAGATAAAAGGTAAGATTTATGCCATGATTATCAATGTATGTGTATATTTTTTAAATCATTCATATAATATGAACATTCAGATTCAAGCCTGTGATTTAATGTAAATTTTCTTTCATTAAGGAGATGTGAAAAGTAAGACAAAATCACATTGAATATGGTATAGAAGTAAAATATTGCAAATATTTTAAAGTGTCTCTTAATAGCATACGATTGAAGTTTTTAGGCTTAAAAAATAGTAAGGGAATTTTATTAATCTATATGCACCTGTAGTTATTATTTCCCATCTCTTTAAACACTAGATTCCCCGTGACAGAATTGCGTTGTCCTTCACCTGGTGTTTATGCTGTAAAACCAATTGTTGTGGGCTCAGTAAGTTGATTTTAATTATAAGTTATTAAATCTTGAATAATCATCCTGTTATCCTGTTACATTTGATTTTGCCTTTCTTTTGAGCTTTTCAATCTAATCTAACCTGTTTTAAATAGTATTTATTGTAACTATAAATACGTGCTATTTTAAAGTTATTGGCATATGTCAATTCTAAATTATAAAATTATATACAGTTTTGATCTTAGTATTTTTATTAATAAGTATGTTAAAGCTCATAGCCACCACCTTAATGGCAGTAGGACTCTCAGATGAATGGGTCTCATGTCATACACTTTTATGCCAACACCTAGGATTAGGAGTAATTTCTAGCAGATTTATTTTTACTCCACTGCATTTTGTTCAATTGAAAAAATCATGTGAATGCGAATGAATTAGAGTGAGGTTGAATCTCTCTAGTTTACCAAAAACACCCAAAGACAAAGTAAAACATTTTAAGACATTGGTACTTTAATAATAAGTAACAAAATACTGGCCACATACCTCACAGCTGATGTTCCCACACAACCGTGTCTGAAGCTACAGTCCTACAGATGCCATGTGACCAATCCTGCCTTTACTTTGAGGCTTGGGCCTTCTCTTTAACTAAAAAACCTTAGTGTCAAGGCACAAGGGGACAGAGTGATGTGGGAGAGGCCAGATGAATATTAATTTGTTTTTCAATCCTTATGGAGTGAAAACTGTTTGAATTTGTCTTTTTGAGTCTATGATTATTTGTGTGTTTCAAGAACACAATCTATGAAGAAGTAAAGGACTCCTTTTCCTTCTGTAGTTGAAGAGATACATCTGACTTTTCTTTTTTCTTTTCTTTTTTCTTTTTTTTTTTTTTTTT